GTTTTATTAGTCGAGAATGTAGTTGTTCAGATTGCAACTGTTCAGTTTATTCATAAGGATAGTGCCTATTTGAAATATTTATTATTTCGGAGATACGTGGTTGACATTCCGCCACAAGATGGCGACAATGACCGCATAATAATAAGAAAAACTCCGCATAATTAAAAACTACAGCTGATCAAATCATTATAAAACAAGTCGATCTCTCTCTTTTGTATGTTGTAGTGCTGTATTTATACCATAGTAATCTTGTAGTGTTTGCTTTGCTTTGGGTTTTTCGGGGTTAATTATTGTAATATCCCGATTGCAAATGAGAAATGCTGGGAAATTTCTGTAGACTGATGGCATTTCATGCTGTTCAGCCTTATAATCTTAAAATGTAAGCAAAATCAGCTTGTTTGTCATCACTTTAGACATTACACTAGAGAATCATTCAAAGCTGTAAAGTGACGTTGGTGAAGTAGTGACAGCTTCTGCGCTTCTGATGTCAACTGCAGATGTAAAGGAATGGCAGAAGAAAGTAGTTCCTCATTCAAAAGGTTTAAGATTTAGGATTTTTTATATACAGTACATGATTATGCCGTCAAACTGTTGTATAAATGCAATATCATACTTGTGGCAGTGCGATATGGCTGTATATCATCACTGCTTAAAGTATTTATTATCATGTGCATTTTAAGTTTAACTTTTCACTTAGATTTTTTATTCAATTGAAGTAATTTTAGTTACTCTATTTCCATTTCCAAGCTAACCATTTTTGCAGTATTTAGTTTTCTTATTTTTGATAAATTCTCACTTCTAGTAATTTCAGTGCTCATACATATTTCAGGAAACATTGCATTGTCTGTGTCTGATTCTGATTATCTTTTTAGAACTTTCATTGTTTACTTTTGGCTTTATTTCCTGACCTAAACTCCTCACCCTAAAAAAGTCCTCAATCAGTGTCTTTCTCCTTGACATCCCGAGACAGCGCAGTGACATTGCAAACACATTTTTCATCCCATTTCCATCCAAAGAGAGAAGCCACAAATGGCAAGAAAACAACCTCTCGTTGAATCTCAGTCAATTATTGGTGTTTCACAGACTATACTATACAGCTGCAAGTCATTCTGATCTGTGCTTTTGTTCTTCAACTCATCACCTAATTGCTTTTTGCTCATCGCGGATAGAAAAAAAAACTGGGCAAATTCCACCCGAAAACCCCACCCGAGCCCGGACGGTCCCTACGGTACAGCATGTGGCTTTGATTTGTGGCTTCCCTGAGGTGTCTCCTTCTATCATCTGTGTGGTTTTGGCACCAAAAGCATTACCGTAATGAGATATTGACCGAGCAAAAAGGATTACTGTCGCTTTAAATCAAACCAAAGTGATTGCGGTCTGCCTGCAAAAGGAAAGTGCAAGCTAAATACGGTCAAAATAAGATAGAAGAGCAAGGCTTTTTTTCTACCGCACGCTGATCTGTACCCCTGTCGCCCTCCTCGAGTCCTGAACTTCCTGTAATTGCTGACCTCGGTTGCAGGAAAAAAAAAATCCTGCCGATTGGACAGATGCATTTGGTTATTGATGTTGTCTCTCATCGCAGGAATTTGTGGCGCAGGAGTCCAGATGAAAATCATGAAAACGTCGTCTCGGATGATGCGCATCAGAGCTCGTGCCGAGTGATTGACTGTTGATTCGTTGTGTTGGAAGGGATTTTTTTTGGAAGAGATTGAAAATGATTGTAATTAGATTTGGAAGATTTAAGTCGAGGCTCAGTTTTATGAGCAAACCAACAGTATGTCATTTGTGGCTAATTGTATCTAAAGTGCATGCATGGGGGGAAAATTAAATGAGTTATGTTAATGTGGGTAAAAACGGCAGTCAAATTCATACAAATATCAAAGTAATATAATATAAAAAGTTATTAAAATATTAGAATAAAGCTAAAAGTTAAATTATTTACTTCACATGAAGATAAAATAATATTATTAGCATTATTAGCGTTAATGTTATACAATAATAATAATAATAATAATAATAATAATAATAATAATAATAATAATTATTATTATTATTATTATTATTATTATTATTATTATTATTATTATTATTTTGATGTTATATTTTATTTATTTATTATTATTACCAGTAGTATTAGTATGCTAGCATGCATAATAATTAATTACTATTAATAATGTTAATTATTTATTTAATTTTATTATTTTATAATATATATATGTATTTTATATTATATATGTATTATATCATTGTTGTTGTTGTTGTTGCTATTGTTATCAATGTATTAATATGTATTATTATTATTATTATTATTATTATTACCACCATTAGTAGTAGTATGCCAGTATGCATATTAATTAACTACGATTAATAATATTAATAATTATTATTATTATTGTATAATTTATTAGTATTATTATTGATATTATAATTGATATTTTTTTTATTATTATTATTATTATTATTATTATTATTATTATTACTGTTGTTTATTTATTTATTTATTTATTTATTATTCCCATTAGTAGTAGTATTAGTATGCCAGCATGCTTAATAATTAATCACTATTAAAAATATTATTAATTTATTTATTTATTTTATTATTTTAGAAAATACATATATTATTTTTAGATATATAACTATGAATAATACTGATAGAATATTAATATTAGTAATAATAATAATAATAATAATAATAATAATAATTGTTATTTTTTATAATAATAATTATTATTATTATTATTATTATTATTATTATTATTATTATTATTATTATTATTATTATTATTATTATTATTATTATTATTATTATTATTATTATTATTATTATTATTATTACTGTTGTTCATTTATTTATTTATTATTATTGAAACAATTCTGTAATAATTACACATCCCTTAAATATAATATGCATTTACTAAATAAATGTATATTATACATTATATACATTTAAATGTAAAATCTCAATCTGTCGAGGTCAGTTTTGCATGTTGCCGTATTTTGTAAACAGACAAAAAAAATTCTCTCAGAAGTGTCTGAATTGTCTGCCTATCGTACATTAAATATTCAGTATTCAACGTCTACTGTAGATCAAAATTAAAACTACTTCAATAAAACTAATAAAAACTTCATATGAAACTACTTCATCAAAATTGTACAATTATTAAACAACACCCATTCCTGTCTTGATTTTAATAAAGAAAAAAATTATCCATTTCAAATAGTGACTATTGTAGATTTTTACTTTAACTTTAGGTTTTCACTTATAAAATAAACAAATGTCCTGCTTATGATTTTTTTTATATAGAATTGAAGCAATTCTGTATTAAATACACAACCCTCATATATAATATACATTTACTTAGCTTTACATATAAAAGCTCTAAGGTTCAGTTTATTGCGAAATGCATAAAAAAAACATCCTAAGAAAGGAAGTGACCTCAATTTTGAGAAAAAAAAAGTCTTCCAAAGGCATAAATGTAAAATCTAAACGAGCCATGGTCTGTTTTGCATGCTGGCGTCTTTTGTAAACAGCCAAAAAACAGATTTTTCTTTCTCTCTCTCAGAATTGTCTGCAGCAGGGCGACAGATACATCTGTGTACCTTCACATTCACAAAGCAGGAATTTTGCGGTGCGGCTTTCCACATGAAAAACGCCGGCTGTGATCATCCGCGTCTGGGATTGTGTGCATCAGGCCTCTGTCTTCATATTGAAGGCTGATGCTTTTTAGCTGGAAGGCAGTTTCTCAGCATGGAGGCCATTACCACTGTAGAGCTCCATTTGTATGAATGGCAGTTTGTGTGTGTGTATGCGTGTGTATTTTGTGTACGTCAGAGCGCATGTTTGTAGAGGTCTGCACTAAGTGCCTCAGGCCTGCCAAACGAGTCAGGACTTTTTGTAGCCGATTTTTGAAATGCGGGGGGAAAATGAAATGTGAATGTTCCTTGAAATGGAGCGGCGTAATGAACTCAAGACCGTTCCCATATTCAGCAGCGCTCTGGCGTTTCTCCACGTATCCCACAATGCCTATTCATTTGAGTCCCTAACCATTGCGTTCTTTCACTCTCGAGCACACATTCAATCTCGCTTTTTTTGCGCTGTCCGTCATTTTCTCCTCTGTTTTTCCGATTTTTTATTTATTTTTTTCACATGCAATCAGTCGCAAAGCCTTCATGATAACTAAGGCCTTGACTTCCGAATTCAGCTTGAAGTGGTGTGATTTCTCAGTTGTGGATCTGAGTCATCGCAGATGCAGACTGTAGATGAGTCACGTCCTTCAGATGGACGGCTCAGGTTGCCCTCATTTAAAACACAGTCCAGAATTTCACAATGTTTATACCTTGCATGCTGTGATAGGACTGCAGCTTGCTTTCTTAGAGCAACCTGCTGCTACATTTGTTTGCTTAATTTGATTCAGATTTTTCAATTCAAAACTCACATTTCCAAAATTTTTTTCTTTTTTTTTTAGAGTAGTGATTGTAACATTAGTAATTTTCTGTAATAGTAGTTGGCGTAGTCATTCATTCATTCATTTTCTTGTCGGCTTAGTCCCTTTATTAATCCAGGGTCGGATTAATGACCGCCAACTTATCCAGCAAGTTTTTACACAGCGGATGACCTTCCAGCCGCAACCCATCTCTGGGAAAAATCCACACACACATTCACACACACACACACACTCATACACTACGGATAATTTAGCCTACCTAATTCACCTACCGCATGCCTTTGGACTGTGGGGGAAACCGGAGCACCCTGAGGAAATTTTGATTACGAATTATATACATTTTAGATGACTACTTCAACTTTAGTTTTTTCCTGCTCATTTGTTTCTGAAGTTTTTGTTTTTATTTAAAACTTAAATCTCCAAGCGACTGCCTAAGCAAGAGTTATAATAACCACTGCCCAAATGCAAAAGCAAATACTAATGATAAATAAAATATTTTTTAGTTTATTATCAGCTTGTTGCATGTTTTAAAGGATGTTTTTTTTTTATTCTCAGGATTCTTTGCGGCTGAAAGACGATCGCATCGAGGAGCTGGAGGAGGCTTTGCGTGAGAGCGTTCAGATCACTGCTGAGAGAGAAATGGTGCTGGCACAAGAGGAATCCGCTCGGGCAAATGCTGAGAAACAGGTAAGAAATGCCACTGCAAGCACCGATAAAGCTTTAGGGCCATTAATATGCAATTACTCTCTCATGTAAATCCCTCTGTCGTTTACATCTGTTATTTCTTTTAGTGCTGCATATTGCCACGATGTTTTACATTGAGATAATTTTCATTTAATATCTCATGCATTGTTCTTTTAGTAGTTGAGATTTTTATTACCTTTATTATTAATATAATATAATATAATATAATATAATATAATATAATATAATATAATATAATATAATATAATATTATATTATTAAATATTTAAATATTTATTATAATAAATAAATGAATATATATATATATATATATATATATATATATATATACACACACACATAATTTTTTTACATTTAGTATTTTTTTCTTAATTAAAACCTTTGCAGCAGCATTGGCAGTATTGAGTCTTTTGATATTAGAAATTATCTATATCAGGGGTTCTCAACCTTTTTCCGGGGCCCACTTCTTTTTCTAATCAATTTTTGAAGGCCTACCTGTCTGACACTTTCTTTAAAATGTGTGTATGAAATGCTCATTTAAACCTTTATTTATTAACAAATAATAAACAATGTGCCTTCTATTATCAGCAACTATATTACTTACTATAATACTTAAAATACTTAGTATTATATTTACTTTTATTTACTAAATATAATATTTATTAAAACTATATACAGTTGAAGTCAGAATTATTAGCCCTTCTTTGATTTTTTCTTCTATTTTAAATATTTCCCAAACGATGTTTAACAGAGCAATGAAATTTTCAAAGTAAATCTGATAATATTTTTTATGATGGAGAAAGTCTTATTTGTTTTATTTCGGCTACAATAAAAGCAGTTTTTAATTTTTTAAACACCATTTTAAGGTCAAAATTATTAGCCTCTTCAAGCTATAGATTTTTTTGATAGTCTACAGAACAAACCATCGTTATACAAAAGCTTGCCTAATTACCCTGACCTGCCTAGTTAACCTTATTAACCCAGTTAAGCCTTTGAATGTCACTTTAGGCTGTATAGAAGTGTCTTGAAAGTATCTAGTCAAATATTATTTACTGTAATCATGGCAAAGATAAAAAAAAATCAGTTATTAGTAATGAGTTATTAAAACTATTATGATTAGAAATGTGTTGCAAAATCTTTTCGTTAAACAGGGGGGCTAATAATTCTGACTTCAACAGTATATATTAAGAGATTGCAGAAGGATTGCAAAAGATCAGCTTCTGCGTTAAACTGGACTGACTGACTATCTACTACTAAATATCTACTATTCATAATATATAGACAAATGTAAAATACAATATAACACCCTAAATCTGTTGAAACTCATCAATCTGATGGTGGTTGAGTTCGCAGCTGGATATTATTGCGAGATCACTGACAGGAACCGTGAAGATCTCAGACAGAGCTCTTCTGAAGCTTATATGCAAGTTCTACTGTATGAAGAACCTCGCTGGATTCTCCTGTATGAGTGCGTGTCCATTATAAAACACTCACAGGACATTATTTGGACAACTATGCGGATATATTCAATAGTTCACACAAAAATACACAAAGAGAGACTTTCACTTTCACTTCACGCATAGTTTGTGAATGAACAGACTTACATGTCCAAGATAAAAACGCAATCATGAGGCTGTTTTTTGCGCCGAGTTTGAGGTAATCAATCAGAGAACAGGAGAAAGTGCCTTACTTCAATCATTTTAATATATTTAACATATTAATAATGAAATCCAAAAAATACAGTATAATATTGGGAGTTCTTTTTACGCTACCACATCCCAACGGTTGAGAATCCCTGATCTATATCCAGATCCAGTAAAATAAACCCTCATGTTTCACCTTATCTAACCATATTTCTAAAGCGCAGTCATGCACGGAAACCGAATGTGTGCACCACTTCATTGCAATGCTATCCGAACCCTTCAGCCATCTTTCCATTGTGGAAATGTTCACTTCCTCTTCCTCCCAGTCAAACATCCTCCCCAGTGTTTACACAGAACTGTATATGCAAATTCACGCAAGGCTAGCATCTCCCAGGCTCAGCTGTAATGACTTGGCGAACAGTGATCGGCCCCACTATAAAGCCTCCTTCACAAAGCTCAGGAGCCAGTCAAAAGCCAGCCTGTCACCGCGTATCACTACACCAGCATGCAGAGCCATGCTAACCATCCAGATCCATGCCAGCCATGCCAGTGGCTAACATTCATGTGGCACGCATGGGTTATGTGTTTGTGTCTGCAGTCAGTCTTCATTTGGAACATAAATAAGCTTTGCGTGGCATGCTAACTTTGCTTCAATTCAGTTCAGCCACATAGAACGTGAATGTGAGAAGCCTCTCGTGTGTGGACGACAAATGTTGACCTTTCTTTCTTGGCAGTTGTAACAATAAAGTTACATTTTTGAGGTGGATGAATGAACTATGAGTAAAATGTGACCCTTTCAAAAGTACTCAAGAGTAGTGAGTATTACATTGTGAAAGTTGATGTGTTTACATGCAGTTTGTGCAGGGATGTGTAAACGAAACATTCTATAGTGCATTTAGTGATCTTCCTATATTCATTCATTCTTTCCAATTTTCCTTCCATTGCTTGTTTGTTCCTTCATTCATTTATTCTTTTCTTTGTTCCTTCCTTCATTCGTTTGTTCTTTCGTTCGTTCATTAGTTAATTTTGTTCCTTCCTTCATTAGGTCCTTTGTTCATTTACTCATTTGTTCATTCCTTCCTTCCTTCCTTCCTTTGTTTGTTCAGTCCTTTCTTGAATCCTTCCTTTATTTATTTGCTTCTTCATTCCTCCCTTCATTCATTCGCTCATTTATTCGTTCATTCTTTCATTCGTTTGTTCAGATTTTTGTTCCTTCATTAGATCCTTTGTTCATTTATTCGTTTGATCGTTCATTTCTTCCTTCCTTAGCTTGTTCAGTCCTTCCTTAAATCCTTCCTTCATTCATTTGGTCCTTCCTTCATTAGTTCGGTCTTTCCTTCATTCGGCCCTTCCTTCCATTCTTCTTTCATTCCATTTAATGATTGTTAAAGACTGTTTAGTGATTTCAGACATCATACAGTCGACATCCTTCATTTTCTCATCAGTGTCATGCAGTATATAAAAAGTCTTTGGGTCACTGCGTGTAAAGATTTTGAACATCTTCTAATGTCGATGCTTCAAAAAAAAAAAGTTAAAAAAATGTACTCAAGGAAAAGTAAAAGTACACTACACTACTTAAACTAAATATTTCTAATAAATACTAATAAAATAAAAGGAAATTTTCCAAATGTCTTCATGGAACATGATCTTTACTTAATAATCTAAAGATTGTTTTTAAGGATTTTAAACATAAGAGGTTTTGTGGTCTAGGGTCACATAGCTGTGCAAATAAAACCCCTTAAAGGGATAGTTCACCCAAGGATAAATTCAGCCTCGTCTAGTTTCAAGCCCATAAAACTTTGGTTGATCTTTGAATGACAAATTAGGATATTATTAATGAAACGTGAGAGGCTTTTTTACTCTCCGTTTGAAAATACAAAACGTTTAAGATCCAAACAGCAGATATAATCCAAGATATGATTATAGATATGTTTGCTTTATATGATAATTGGCTTCTATCTCTTAATAAGACTTCATTCTCTTCATGAGTTTGATACAAATATGATACAAGGTGTTTTGAATATAAACCAAAGTCTTATGGGTTTGTATTGATTTGATGATGAGAACTTTATTTTTCCTATTTGAGTGAGCTATCTCATGTTTATTGAGGTATCATGCTTCTAAATGATGACTGAATGTAAAAACGTGAACATGGAAATGTATTGAATTAGCTAATAAAATGCCAGTAATTTGATGTTTTTTGTTTTAGAGATTCTGGAAATCTGTTTCCAGATAACTCTGGCCCAGTTGACCCTGTTTTTAGACATCAGTGCAGATAAACTGCCAGTAAATTGGTATTTTATGATCCAGAGGTGATTCAGGTCATTCCGGTCCAATTTAGCCCAATTTTAAGGCACCAAGTCGGATTGCACCACAGTCCAGCTGTCTTTGTAGCCCCAGGGATTGCATCAAACACCTGTAACTTTCTCTGAATGAGTCCTCCGTGAACTGGACGGTTCAGCACAAGCAGCTACTCAGGCTTTGAACCCAGAGCAGCTGCCAAAACCTTGCTTTCCCTTGTACCTGAAAATCCCTGAACTTTCCCCACTCCATTCTCGCTCTCTGTCCATCTTACTTGGCTCTTCCTGACATTCTGCTTCATTTTTAAACCCTTAATGGTTTGTTCTACCTTCTGTGGATCCTGGCTCTCTGCCGTTTCTTCCCTCCGTTTTGATTTCCTAGAGATTTCACATGGGTGGCTGAGCGTTGTCCCAGTGCGCGTTGCAGTCTCAGGAATGTATCGCGGCCTAGAGTTTCTTCACCACCGGGTGGACCTCCGCTTCAATCCCCGGAGGTTAATTAGAGCCAGGGACTGCGGCAGGAGCCAACGCTGTTGCTAAGCCTGGCCGTTCCCTTCATTTGGGCTCAGAAGGAAGAGGAAATGGGGACAGTACAAGTGCCACCCTCTGGAGCCAGTCTCCATGCTCATTACCGACATCCCAGCCGCATCAAGTCTCGCTGCATGCACTCCGGACATCAGCCTTCAGGGGGTTTTCCCCACCCTGGCACCTGTTATATAAGAAAGAACTCCGCTTATATATTACATATTTTGAAAGTTATGAGCTTTACAACTGAGGAGAAAAAAAAGATGGCGTCATGCCTCGCTGGCAATTGGCAGACATGTTTTTTAAATGCGTAATCTGTGGCCCTGCATTAAACCATGCAAAATCTAATTAGCTTCGCACATGGACACATTTCTACAAACCCGCACAGAGCGTCTCCTGTGCTATTTAATTACCATTTCAGCATTGCTTCACCACACCCTCTGTTGTGCCAATCATATGCAGCCGTTTTGTCTTTAGCTCTGTGTTTAATTTCCTCCAATAGCTGTTCGCCTCA